CTCTCTCTCTCTCTCTCTCTCTCTCACACACACACACACACACACACACACACACACTATTCGGTTTTACTCCTGCAGATAAGGCAAAGGAGAGAGAGGTTGTTTTGTTATCTCTTTAACAATGAGGGGGCGGTTAACTACTACTTGTGATGGAAGACATATAGATGAATGGGTAGATAGACAGACAGGCGGATAAAAAATGTCTTGTCCCCTGAATTCTGATCGCCACATTGTTATTGCTGGTGATGGTATAACAAGCCAAACGATCCCAGCTGAGTTTTTTTCAGTTTGCAGGGCTGGCAATTAGAAAAGACTCTTTTGACTTGAGAACTGAGCCAATTGGATCTGATTCACTGAGATAGAATGAGTGAGTGCAGGGGACTGGACTAGAAGACTTCTCAAGGTCCCTTCCAGTCCTGTGATTCTATATGGAACTCCACGGTGTCGCAGTTACAGTCGCGGTTCAGAACATGGCTGCACTTTAAGCAGGGGCTTCAATCTTCCTCTTTTGTGCTTGATCCCACAGTAGAATCAGACAATGCTGATTTCAGGCCTAACTTATAAAGGTTTCCACACTGCGGATCCAACTTTCAAACCTGAGGAAGGCTAAAGTTCAGGACCTCATTCCCTGTTTCAACCAACTATTTCTAAGCCTTCATAGGTTTCGCTAGGTACATCCCAGGTTTCCCGCTCAGTTACAATATATCGAAGACTTCAGGAAATGCATCTGTCCATATCTATCTCCTGGGAGGTCTCACCCACCTCTAGCAGGTACCCAAGAGGTCTGTCTTCATCTCATGCTTTGGCAACATTTGTATATTCCTGAGCAAATAGAGCTCAAAAAAATCCGGTTCAATTTAAACCAAAATAATTTTTGTATTGTTTTTCATCAAATCAAAAAAAAACCCAAAAAATAAAAAATATTTCCAGCAGGCTGAAACATTTCAAGTTGAACTGAAATGAGTTTTTGTTTTTTTAGGTTTTTCAATTAATTTCAAGTTGACATTTTTGGTTGACTCTAAATGAAATTTTTTTTTTTGTTCTTCATTTTGATTCAGCCATTTTGGGTGGATTTCACCCTCTTTTGGGGGCATGCATGGGCTTTTTAAAATTGCTCATATTTGAAACCAAAATGATGTTTCGAAACAAAAAGTTAAAACGAAATGTTTCAAAACAAAAAACTTAAAACGTGGATTCGACTCTTTAAAAAAACAAATTTCAACCAAAGCTATTTGTCAAATGTGACCCAGTTTCAAGCCTTAAAAAATGCGTTTTTCAACAAAAACTTATTTGAATTTTTTTTTTTTGCCCACTTCTACAATAAAGTCTCATTGAACTGAACTGAATTGCACCCTCTTTCCTGGAGATTGAACAGCAGTGACTACAGAAGGGAGGGGATAACCCTGAAGAAGGTATAGATGTAGGGTAAATCTTTGTATGAATTAGGGTGGCCACTCAGATTCAAAAGTAATTTAGCTAAGCAGACAACCGGGTGCCTAATTAGTTAATTACCCTGGTGCACTGGCATCCCCCCATATGGAATAAACTCTGCAGCAACCTCGCAACCTCTAGGAAATGCACGAAATGCAAAGGATCAGCTGTTCCTTCCTGACAGTCCTTTTAGCAAATTAGTGGGGAAAATTGTGCTTAGCAAATATTCATTAGGGCTTCATTTTCCATTAATCCAAAAGGAAATGTGGAGAGCCTGTGACTTCAATCACGCTGAGGCCCAGGAATTTTAATGAGCTTTAAATGGGCATCTGTCAGAATCCTGACTTCACCGTACTTATCCTGCCAGCCAGGGGAATGAGTAATGGCCAATAAAAGGTGGGAGCGCCTAGGCGAACTCCCCTCCCTAACAGGAAAGGCAAAGTTGTAATTTGCTGTGTTATGACACTATAATTATGCCCTGATGAAGAAAGTGAGAGCATTAAAATCCTTTTCTTTCCCCACTTCGCACTGTGCTCAAGCAATAAATGATAGAAGCCCTACTTTGCTGAGTCAGATAGGTGTATAGTGGTGGTAAAGGGAGACACAAGGATCTTCCCCCTCACCCTTTGTGTCTTTCTCACAATCAGGGTTGAGAGCACAGCTGGGTGCCAGGCGAGCATCCCCAAAAGCATGCAAAGGAATTGGCCCTCCCATACACTGGTTAGCAAAACTGAACTACCGTTGGGGTTAAGGTTAAAAGTATAACTGGGTTCAAATAAGAACTAGATAAATTCATGGAGGATAGGTCCATCAATGGCTTTAGCCAAGAGGGTCAGGGATGCCACCCCGTGCTCTCGCTGTCCTTAAACCTCTGATTGCCAGAAGCTGGGATTGGACAACAGGAGATGGATCACTCAGTTATTGCCCTGTTATGGTCATTCCCTCTGAAGCACCTGGCATTTGCCACTGTTGGAAGACAGAATACAGGGCTAGATGGACAATTGGTCTGACCCAATATGGCTGTTCTTATGTTCTTAAGAGTAGAACAGGGCAGAAACCGGAAATTCCATTTCATGGAAGAGTTCGGGATTGCAACATTGGTTTTAGTTCCAAATCAGGACGAAACCTGAACATTTCAAAATGATCCACGAAAGAAAATACCAAAATACCAAAATACTCAATTCATTTGAGATCGATTGAAACTTTCCATTTTGACAAAACTGAAATGTCTTGCTCGATCCAAAATGAAATTTTCTGTTTCATGTCCATTTTGATTTTTTTAATTCTATCATATAAATTACAATACATTACATCACTTGAAATGAAAAGTGATGTTGAAGAGGAAAATCAAAATGTTTCATTCCAAAAATGTCAAAAACATAAAGTTTCGACACTGTTGGAGCTTTTCCACCCCCACCTCTTCTATTTTTCTGAAACAAAATTTCAGCGAAATCTATGTGATTTTTCAAAGCATTTTCATTTTGACGGAACTGCATTTTCCAATGGAAAACTGCTCTATCACAATTTTCCCAACCAGCTCCGGGTTAGAGTCTACTGCACGCTGCAAAAGGCTGCCGGAATTCTTGCTCTAGCATCTATTGCAGCCCCAGGAAGAAAATGGCAGGTCCCGGCCTGGAACCAATGTGTAGAATATGAATTTCTGTATTGGGAGGGGGTCATTCTTCAGGGTGGGTTTCAGCTTTGGCCAGGTTCTGTTTGAGTTTGGGCAGAGAGGCAGGTAGCTGAATATAGAGTTCCATGTGTTTGTGTGTCTGTTCCCACTCATCATCACCGATCTCCTCAATAGCTGTTTGAGAAGGATGACTGACCTTCCGCCTATGAACACCAGGGAGGGAGGGGGACCATTCAGAGTGGTCCAAAGAGATGGATGCAAGGGGGGGGTAAAACTAAGATTAACAAGAATGAACGAAGCAAAGAAAAATTCTGAACAGAATACCAGGAAAAGCTTCTTTCTTTCCATCTCCATACATGCCGGTCAATCTATCTACCTAGCAATCAGTTCTATGCTAATGCCATCGCTGTAGTATTTGATCACCTGGCAGGTTGCTTAGGCTGGCATAGCAAGGTCCCCGTGGGGTCTCCTGGTCTCCTCCCTTCTCTAGTCATAAGAATCTTGGCTTGGGGTGAGGGGTTTTTTTGGAGGGAGGGTAGGCGGCTGTTGTAAATATCATTTTGGTTATTTGGCGGGTCGGAGCCTGGATTAGCCAAAACGCCTGTGGAAGTTGATCCCCACTGCCAGATCCCCTCCGCTGAGGAAGTCTAGTGGCAAGATCTGCCAAAGGAAGTGGTGGAAGCCCCCCGTTGCTGAATGTATTTAAAACATAGACTGTACAGAAGTACTGCTAGAGAATATGCTGCTGTGGTAGCTGAGAGGAGAGGCGTGTCCAATCCAGGTACTCTTTATTCAAATCTCCTCCCTTCTTCTCTTTCCCATCTCACCTGCAGGACCAGAGGGCTGTAACCTGTTTATCTACCATCTGCCCCAGGAGTTTGGGGATGCTGAGCTGATGCAGATGTTCCTGCCTTTCGGTAATGTCATCTCCTCGAAAGTGTTTGTGGATCGGGCGACAAACCAAAGTAAATGCTTTGGTGGGTAAAGATAACAAAACAATTAGATTCATCCAGGAAAGGGCTTTCTCTGAACACTTTGCCTTTCGAACTGCTTTCTCTTTGCTTACGTTTTTTGATTTCTCGATTTACTTCTGTCGATACTATTTTCTCCCTTCCCCCTCCCCTTAATCGTCTCATGCTCAGAACTGTGTGCACGGCTCAGAGACAAAGGTTTGGAAGGTGGCTAGCAGGTGGATGCTTCAGCTGCTGGCTACAGGGGAGAAAAATCCCACCCGCTGGATGGGTGGCATCGGAAAAAAAACAAGCGTTTGGAGAGAAGCTGGTGGGGTCGGGGGATGGGTTTGTGGCAGCAGGGTTGGTCGGGGGGAGAAAGTACAGTGCCTTAGGGGGAGGAAAATCAGGCACTGGGGGGAAAGAAAGGTTCTTTGGGCCAGATCCCCAGCTGGTGTAATGCATTAGACTGCAGGGAAGCCATGCTTATTTCTCTCAGCTAAAGATCTGACCTTCTGAGTGTAAGCTTCAGGGCCCTGCCAGCAGGCAGACATGTGATATCTGTGTTTGAATTCTCTACAGGAGCTCCCCTCCCCATTTCAAATTCTTATCATGCTGCTGTAAATATCACACTCCAGTGCTGTTGTGGGGCAGAGAGGGACCCTGTCCACGTTCATCCATGTACCTCTCCTGACCAGTTCCCCTCCCTCCAAACCGCAGTTTCCAGGGCTGGTGGGTGTCTCTCGGGATTCTCTCTGATGTCCCTGCGCTCACCACAGGGCTCTGCCATGTGGTTCCCTGCCGTCCCTTGCTCTTTGCACACATGCCCTTTGAGAGGTGCAATGGGGCAACCTATTGTTTTTTAATTGCCCTGACTCTGCCGCTGGTCTGGAGGCAGCTTCTGGGGGATCCCTCCACATGTCAGACTTTTATTTTCTTTTGGTTTTGATGCTGCTGTCAATCTCCACACCATGCCTCCCTTGCCCGTTCCCTCCCTTGTCTCCTCCACCTTTCCCCCTCAGACAACCCTGCCAACATCTCTTGGCCGGTTTCCCACTGGAAATCAGCACCGTGCTGATAGCAGTCAGCTGGCTTGGACTGACTAGCTCCCAGGAGTTCGTGGCCCCAACATCCGCTGGTCTATACAGTTCTTCCTGTCCATCCAGAGAGCATCTGAATGTGACTTTGGACAGACCATTGAGCACCTCATAATGGGAGGGAACACAGTGTTCATCTCAGTCAGCAATTGTTAGCTTCACGCCCTTCTGCTCTCATGAACTCTTGGGCATGGAGCATGGAGGGGCCCAGTATGAGGATTCGTCTTGGGGGCTTTCAAATAAGCATTACACTTGTGACTCAGTCCCAGTTCCTTCTCGTTTTACAGCCCCAGTGGTGTCCTGCCCAAATGGGAGGACCAGCCTACTTCTAGGTGTCAAAGATAGATAACGCGCTGATGGTATCCATAGCATGGGACAGTCAAGTTGGAGCTTCTGGCAGTGAAATGGCTGTCTCCATGCTCTTCTATATAGAGAAATAATGGACCAGGTTCTTCTCCTACTGACAGAGGTGTAAAGCAGAGGGAACTCAGTTGATGTTAATGGAGGTGTGGCAGTGGAGTAAGTGAGATGAGAATCAGGCCCAGTGAGGTGGGAGGATCATCTGGGGGCTAGAGTGCAGGGTTCAGATTTCTCTCTGTTCTCGTCTCATCTCTAACCAGTCCTGGCCTTGTGATTTAGTCACTAATCTGTAACATGGGGATAGTCACACACACCTAGCTCATGTGCCGGTATTCACTGATATTTACGCAGTGCTTGGAGATCCCTGGATGAAAAAGATGATAGCTGCAATGTAATGGGAGGAGAATGCAAATATTTATTTACTGTATGTTATAGAGAGGATGAAACCTAAAACCACAACCCACTTAGCAATCCACTGGTGCAGTTACCACCAAAATACATGTGGGTAACGAGGTTCTCCCAGCCTCTAAGTAAAAAGGTTCCACTCAGGTGTTTAGTTCCCAAGTCCAGCAAAAAACAAGGAGCGAAGCTTGGTAACTTCATTTAGGCTCTCAGGACCCGATTCTCAGCTCCAGACAATGCTGAGGCCCTTGGCATAAGTTAGAAAATGCTCTCTGAATTAAACTTGGCTGCCTAGGTAGCCAAGAGGGGCCATTCTAGTAGCCAGTGATAGCCAAAACAGGGATTTTCACCATTCCCTGGGCCTTGCCCCTTAGCCCCAGAACTAGGGGTATGGCAGCAGCATACGGCAGTTGCATTTGGTCTGTACCACACGAGGTTCCCCCCTACATATAGGGAATTCCCAGCTTGCCAGATCTGCCAGTTTTACAGCAATGCAAAAGTACAGAGAATCAGGTCCTCAGTCTATTTGCTGCTTCCAGTGGACCTAGAGCTGGACCATGTTTTTCATTCAACATTTTTTTTTCAACAGAACATTGCTTTTCCGACAGGAAATGTCCAATTTTGACGATATTTGATTGAAAAATTCTTGGTTTTCTGACAGAACATTTCACTTTTCAGATACCAAAAGGAAAAGCAAAACAAATCAACGTATGCATTTTGGTTTGTTTGTTTTTTCCAACAAAAGCCCAAAAGCTTTTGTTGAAAAAAATTCATCTAAGTGTTGTCATGGGAACAAAACCCACTTCCCAAACAGCTCTGCTTAGCTAGCGCTTACTTACTGGGAGCTGGCCCTTTTGCCATTTTTACATATGGTGAGTACACAGCAAGTTACCAAGCCTTTTTTCCTTTAATTCCCCCTCTTATGGCCCTTGGGGGAGGAAAGACACCCTGCCCGGTTTCCTGAAACCACCTGCAGTGATGAAGAAAATCTTCATAGCTACACGAGACACAGAGAATTAGGCCCGTAGCAAACCTTTGGTCTTTACCTTTTGGGACTGAAAGTTTTGAATTCTCCAACTTGTTCCCTAGAGCAGCTGAAGGCAGTTGCATTATCTGATTTGTCCAGTGATGACAGCGCAGGGTGTGCAGGGTACTTTTGTGCATGTCATGAAGAACAGGGCATCAGTTGCCACCCTTTCTGCTGATTTCCTGGCCTAGCACCCACACGAGAGAGAGAGAGCAAGAAAACAATGTGCTGCCTTTATAGTCATGCTCAGAAAAGAGCAGGTTATGGTCTTGAGGCTTATCACATTCACCATTCAGAAATGGCCTCTAAATTGAACAGCACGTCTAGGTAATGGGGGATATAGGAAACAATAGCAACCATGCCTGGGCTGTTCAGACTCCATCGCTGCTGCAGGCTTCATGCAGGCCAAGTTTTTTTGGTTTGGGTTTTTGGTTCTTCTTGCTACAGCCAGCTCTGGAGGCCAGAGGTCACCATACTAAGGAGAGGGATAGGTTTACCTTAAAGTTATACACACATACAGGGCACTTTCATTTAGAGGTTTTTAAGGTCAGGCTTGACAAAGCCCTGGCTGGGATGATTTAGTTGGGGGCTGGTCCTGCTTTGAGCAGGGGGTTGGACTAGATACCTCCTGAGGTCCCTTCCAACCCTGAGATTCTATGATTCTATGATTACAGCCCAACTGCATGAAAGACTCAACAGCCACATCCCAGATCCCAGTGCTGTACCCATAGGACATGATATCAGGGCAGTTTACTTGGAAAGCTAGTAGTGAAAATTTGCCTTAGATCATCTACCCTGATCCTTTTGATAGTATGTGAACACAATGTGTAGAAAGAGAGCAACAAAATAAACCTGCATAGGTACACCTGGATGAAAGAGGCAATGTGGAGAAACATGTCTGGAGCCAAGTTGTCAGCCCACTAACATTTGTGAGGTGGGTAGTGATAAAGAGGGGTGTACAGCAGCGAATGTTACCGAGACGGTAAATCAGGCACTAACTGGAAAAGGATTTCTTTGATTTCCTTTTTTGCTGTAAGGGGGGGAAAGAATGTTAATCTTTTGTGGGAGCCAGTGGTACGCAGGTGGGGAAAACTGCAGCATGAAGAGTGCTGGTCAGGAACAGTTGTGAGTTGCCTTGGTGCATAGTGATAAATACCTAGTACCCCCCACGCTGTCCTTGCAAGATGGAGAATTTGCTTCTGTGCTTATAGCATTGCCACATGTGATTTAATTGTGAGTCTCAGAATATTGGGCGCTTTTCTTAAAGTTCCAGCTCCTGGAGGCATGTGATTAGGAATGTCTCCACTTTCTTTTTTTAAAGTAAGTTTTTGTCCTCATCGTTGCAGAGAAAAGCTTGCAAACATGACCACAGCAGACATAATAAAAAAAGAATTCATAAGTTATTTTTAAAAGTATCATGATTTTAAGCCAACCTCTTGATTTTTGAATGTTTGCGGTTGGCAGTGCTGCTGGTCTCTGATTTGCAGTTTGTTGTTATGCAGATATGGGAGTAGTGAATATTTAGATACGATAATTAGAAATGGTTGAAAAATGACAATTCTTTTGCACTAAATTTTTTTTTGTTTTTTATACTTCCTGAGACTTTTTTTTTTTACTTTTTCATAAAACAAAAAATAAAACATTTTTGGTTTTCAAAAACTGTTTCCAGTAAAAGAAAGAAAAAATCTTTTTTAGGTTAAATAAAATTTTGGTTTTCGGTAAACATCTTTGATTTTTTTATGCCAAAAACTGATTTTTTTTTAATAATAATAAATAGAGATATCCCATCTCCTAGAACTGGAGACCTTGAAATGTCATTGAGTCCAGCCCCCTGCCTTCACTAGCAGGACCAAGTACTGATTTTGCCCCAGAATCCCCCCTCAAGGATGGAACTCACAACCCTGGGTTTAGGAGGCCAATTCTCAAACCACTGAGCTATCCCTCCCCCCAAAATCAAACTGAAAAATTAATATTTCCATTGAATTTGCATGCTGCTATGTTGATTTATCTCCATAGCTCAGCGACGCCCACTCCATGCCCCGTTTTTACAAGCCATAGAGTGGCTGTGCAGAGGGTTAACTTTATAGTTCAGGATGCTATGCCTAGCACTCAACGTTTCACCCACAGTATCCACCTGCATT